ATTCATGGGGGGAACTTGGAAAGAGGCCCTCCAAAAAAAAATATCATCGTTAAAAGGAACATACATAGGTAATTCACTAATATTTTTTGTAAAATCTTCTTCACGAGTCGCCATTACGCCAAAATCCCCTATACCGACAGTGACAGAATTTTGACGGATTTGTCAACTGTAGACTGCGGATTGATACTTCCAAGCACTTTTATTGGACATGCTTCTTCACAAGCAAGAAAAAACGCTGTGAGCAAAGCGGCTGCTAGTGAAAATGACTATATTTCAAGTCACTTAGGGATAAAGGAAGATAAACAGTTTTTGACTTAATTTGGTAGGAACAGTTCTGAATCAAAATAGAATTGTCGGTTTGACATCAAGGTTTTCAATATTCCTAACACTTTTTTCTTGAAAGGGTCGAGGATGACACCAACATCGAGCGCCATAAAATGCACGGAAGACGATAGGATTGGCTAACCAGAGCTTCAAAAACTATTTTACGCATATAACTAATAGTTAGCTCACAGGTTATAGTTAACAAACTTAAAAGTTACCGCTTGAAAACCTGGGCTTTTGGAAATAACATGTTCCGATACAGCAACAAATCTCGAAAATAAATTTTACACTGGTATAGGTGTAGGACTTTCTTCTGTTATCAGAAGGGCAACCTTGAAATTGACGTTGACCTTCAAGGTTCAGTCTATTTTTTAAATAAAGCGCAACTTCTTGATACTGGAATTACAGCTGAAAATTTTACGATGGGTTGAGTTAGAACTCCAAAAACAAGACCTCTGAAAGTCTTTGTCAAGGTTTAATACGTAATCGATAAGAAGAAGCCATTCCCCATCAAGTTTCTGCGAGACATTTTAAAAATAACTTACACCAACTAAAAGATGCTTGGTGGAGAATTTTCCCAAAATGTTGCCAAAAGTGCTTGTCCCATAGGAACCGTGATGTGCCTTTTTATTCAATCTGAATATTCAAACTAAATTGAGTACTCTGTGCAAACATAAAGAATTCCTATTCGTATACAACTTTTCTGTTATTAAGAACGCCTGGTGTGAGAAAGGTTTCGATATTTGAATATATATATGAAACCAAACCATAACTCCGTATAAGGATCCCTTTGTCAAAGTGGTGCAGCCCTTGAGCAAAATTTTAATATCCTTTGATCGAAATAACTTTTAGCTTATGCGTAGAAAGTGAAATCCGCAAGCATCGGTTTTGTGTGCCCTACATTCCACCTTCAGAAAAAAATATGGTAAAAGTGGCGTTCAACGCAATATAGCGCTACTACTCGTCGTTCCCTTTTCAAGTTATCCAACACCCGTATTACGTAACTTAAAAGTCACATTATATCGATTTTTAATGACATTACGTAGATTTTTCGAAGAAAATTTCACCCTGGAATTAGCTGCTATTCACTTTTTGTTCACTGGTAGTCGCTAATACGTGTTGCCTTAATTAAGGCCTTACCGTCAGTCGTTCCTACAATTGTAGACCTTTATGGCCTCCTGGATTTTCATAGTATTTTTTCTCCTTCAGAAATGCTGGGGTATTTCTAGATTTCTACTGTTTCCGTATCAGCGTCAGCGCTCTCTTTTTGTGAAGTTATGTTTTCTTTTTTGAATAGTAGAAAATTTCAGCCTGATAAGACAGATGATATAAATCAAAAGCATGAACAATTTGATGCAAGTAGATATCTGTGACACCTCAAATAGAGCTCTGACACGGAACAGTGGAAAACTATGAAAATCAACGACCCCATAAAGGCGATACGCCCCTAGAGTCATGACATTCAAGCTGCCTGATTGTTTGGCTCTGATGTGATGAAAAATCTGAGATGGCACTATTGGATACCTTAACGCCTTCTGTGACCTAAGTTCTATACTATTGCCGAAATGACGGTCATTGTGCCACTTCCCCACAGGTGGCGCTCATAGTAAATACGGAATGGGCTAGCGGTTACTTAGTACACGATTTTAAATGGCATTGTATCGATTTTTTACACAATACCCCTGTAGTTATAGTTACTGTAAGTCAGTGCTCGTCTTCACCTGAGTTTTGTGTTTGATAGTGTGTAACCCCGACGAGGTGTAGGCTTGATCGCCTGCAGGTATTTGTCTCAGGGGGGTATTCATCTGCAAGAGACAACTTTTTGTGAGAGTGTACCTGGCCCCGAAGGTTTTTGAAGAAATTGTAGACAAAATCATGCTAAATATGTAAATTTGGTAGTCCAACCGGTTAATTAGTGTGGGCCACGGCCCCACCTAGCACCCCTGCGGGTATCATAAGCAGCTAGCTTCTCGTTAATCCGATATTTGAACTGCCTAAGGTCAGTAGAAGTGGGAAAAGCGTCCTCATGCAGACTGATCCACAATTTCGATACCCTAGGACAAAAGAGCGGTCGTACAGGCCAGTTCTGGATGTTCGTAGTTCGACACGGTTTGGACGGGAGGCCGAAGTCAGGCAGGTCTGTCCGGCAGGCTCATCGCGCGGCAGCTCTGAGGAGCAAAGCCCGTAGAGACTATTCGTTATAGAAGAGTCATCGATGAGGCGGACAGCCCTCCTCTGAGCATCATCGAACATGTCCAATGTCGGCGGCAGCATACTCGAGGATGCATATTATCTGGGCGTTGTACAGACTGGGAAGGTTATGCGAAGAAAAGTACTTCTTAGCCCTAAACAAATAGCCTAGCTTTTTCCCAGCAGCTACCTCGACTAATGAGATATCAGGTCAGTTCACTCACACTTATTGCGTTTTCTCGTAAGGTGCCTCAGCGGAAATGCCATCAACGTCATCATCAAGAGCATCAAGCGTGAAAAACTTATAGTTATACTACGGGTTCTCAAAACATGGAGCAAATATTATAGACAGTTTTTTAACGCCTATCCCAGTCCTAAGGTTTGTTAACAAAAGATTATAACATAACAAGCGCATGATATTGGAGACAAACCAAAATTTTTGACGGATACTGAAAAGAGCCAACCGAAACTGTAGCATTGAGTCTTATCCATCTTTATTTTCGTTTTAAAAGTTCTGAGAAAAGGTCTTACCCATGGCGTTATGAATAATAGTTTTTCCTTCTTTTCATTTTGCTATCACGAGATTATGATCACTTCCAAATCTTTTCGTTGGGTCAATAAAGTAACAATGATAAGCCAGAGCATATTCCATATCATTTTCAACTAGGTATTTGCTTTTAGCCAGGAACCTGCTCGAGCCATAGCAATTATTTAGATAAACGGAGTACCTAGACTTAGAGTTCAAATACAGTTTTCCACTCTTTCCAGTATCAGGTAGTCCACCATTACTGCTGTTTGATGTTGATGAACACAATATTTCGTATTGTTCACGAATTAAGCAGAATTGTCCATATGCTCTACCACGCACAAATATTTACCTTCGTTCGCATGCTTGTTTTATGTGCATTAACTGAGCAATTCACCTCGCAACGCAGACACTATTTAATTTCTGGTCTGTTGTACGTGAGTACACCCAGCACGATTGGCTTCTTCTACTCTATTAGAACTGGTTGAATTCCATCACATTTTTAATTAAACCGGTCCTCTCAAAATTCGACAACTGTTGTTCTAAGATTGCAATAGATCAATAATACGTGAGTTTGCGGTACATACCGTCAGCAGCTTCCTCTTTCGCGTTCCATCGTCTTGTTGCCAATCTTAGCAGTTTGTCTTTGATAATGGAAGTTTGATTAACTTTACAGCGTAGCAGCTCCAAGAAAACAGTCCTATTAAAATCGTCGCGAGGAAATTACAGTTTGATTAAGTATCCGACTGCTATCCCGAAAAAACAAACTTGGCACCGACGAAGTTTCAGTTAAGAGGAGCGTTTGAGAGTGTTACGATAGTCGCAAGTTTTGTCTTATGCAAATTACAATACAATACAGACTCTGGGAGTTTATTTTGGAACAATTCAAGCAATCTTCCAAAAATATTATTTTTGTTTATACTATCAAAATGTAAAAGTATGGGAGTTATGTTTTATAAATTTCCAATATTGTTCAAATACCCCATTAGCTACTTTCAATTAATGACCGTTCACCAATAAACATTTCCATCAGCATTTCATTTGACAGAATTGCAGCTAAACTTCTACAAAAGCGTGTTAAAAAGCCCTTAAAATTGGTATAATCAATGCATAAAAAATTATAATTTTTGAGGTTGTCAATTATCTTAGTTAAAGTTTAAACATTGCTTTGCAAGACCCAAATGGGTATTTTGTAATTACTTTATTTTAAGAGATTTTAAACTTGTCTATTAGACCAAAGTTTCGGTTGTTGCAGACTGTATATGCAATTGATTCCACCATCGTTATTTTCATGACATCAAGTAATCGCAACGCTGTCATCAGTCCATAAAATATTATTTTTCGGCACATTGACAACGTTGCACCCTATAAATATATATAATACAAATATACTAACACCAAAAACAATCTCGAATACACCCAATTTTTAACACATACAAAAAATTTCCTGAAAATTATCAGAAACATCTGAAACGTCAGTTTTTTTAATTTTTTGCCTCTAACATCACTGCAACTAGAAGTAACCTTGTGTGAAAATCTCATCAAAATCCGAGCGATAATTTCCAAGTTACAGACGGACCAAACATTGACAGACATACAAACAGACCGACAGACAAACCAGCAGAACTACAGATCTGAGCGAGTGAGTTTTTCGTGATTTTAATGCATCCTCGCCACTAGCGCGGGAGGTAAAGATGAGATTGAACCTTCCTAAAATGATTCACAATTAAATTGCCGGGTCTCTAGGTAACATAAATCTCGAATTATCTACTGCGACACCCTTTTATTAACAATGAAATAGTACTTCTTTAACAAATGGAGAAACAATAATTGGTGATGTAGCATTTCTTCCTTTCCGTCACCACCCGCAAGTTCAGAGTTTTTTTATCTTACAACATTTTTTCTGATTCTTATCAGTATTTATGGCAAATATAACTAATAATAATGCTCAAAAACTTACCTAGCAGCACCCACAGTATCTGGAAGAAAAAAATAAGTCAATAAATGCTAATAATAGATTTTTTGATGAACTAAATATGATTCAATATCAAATAGCATTTTCGAACTTCTTAGGGTTTACCCGTCTGAGACCATTTTTTCGCTGAAAGTAATAATGATCCTGCTAAATATCTGAACAGTCTAACAAGTTAATGGAGGTACACAGTTTTCGAACATAAAGAGTATGAACGGTAACGTTGACCTAATTGCCCACATAGCAGCAGACTTGATGCATAATTTAAACCCTTGTCCCCGCTCTCACATATTGTTTGGGGGTAACACCACCAATAATGCTACGGCTGTTTCGCTCGTGATCATATACTGTATTCAGGCTGTTACTTATTGATACGCAGTAATTACTCAAGCGTATTTTCTAACCAAATTTAAGTGGAAAAGTTCAGATAGACATGTGTCCCAAAAAGTCTAGATATCAGGATATAGGGTGTCAAAGTTTAAGAAAATTTTTGTTTTTTTATTAACATCTCAAAGTTCGTTGTACCGATTTTGTTGGATTTTGATAACGCTATTCAGTGCAATAAGTCGCTAAGTTAGCACTTACTAGAAAATAATTACAAATTCCAGTGGCGTCTCGGGGACAGTCTCGCGATAGTATTGACAATAAAATCTACGCCAATGTTTAATAAAATTAATGTTTTTCGAATTGAGCAGGAAAACATACCACTTGGTATCTTCTTATCTTACTTTGTTTTAGAAGATAAAATAAAATCCAATCCATTACATGTCGAAAAATTGTTAAAATCGAATTTGGTCGATGCACAGTATGCATTCATGGGCCATTTTTTGAAATGTAAGGAACGGAAAGTTACTACAGTCTGAGAATATATTTACAAAAAATGTTGAAAATGACCATCGCCTACCGCTTTTTACTGTCCTCATATTTTAACAGTTTTTTGGCAAACAATGAAGTTGGTTTTATTTTTTCCTTCAAAACGAAATGAGACACAAAGTGACACCAAGAGGCAAAAAAATGTATCATTACCTGGTTAATCCAAAGAAACATATGTCTTTTTAATGTCAGTGGCGTACATTTTTTGTCAACATTATTCGTGAAACTGCCCCCTGAGACATCACTGGAATTCATAGTCCTCCTCTACTTAGTACTAACTTAGCGTCTTATTGTAATGGACAACACTGCCAAAATTCGAGGTTAATCGAAACAAAATTTTCTTGAAACTTTGACGCCCTGTATCTTGAAAATTATACGTAACTAACTCTCTGTATATCGAAATGCCCGTCTTAGGTATTCCGCCACCCCGAAAACAAACAAACTTCGCACCGTTACTCTTCAACTACAAACCGGCGGCAATCCAGGCGACAAAACAAATGCGATTTACGTCGATTTTCCGATTTTCTAGTATAGAGCTGTACTGTAGGTATGTACAAAGACTGATTGTAGTGAAATTGATTTTAAAGCGCACGGGCAACTGCGAGACCCAAATCGATTCATCTTGTATTGTTGTTTCAAAACTTTTTGAACACAGACAGTAGCATTAGGGAAATGAGTACAAGTAATGCAGAATTATTTTGCAGTCGTTATTTCAGTCTTATTGGAGAGTGTAACAATACACAAACATAAATGCCTGGTCAGGCAGCTACAAGCGAAAAGAAGCGACAATCAAATTCTCATGCTCATTTTCACATGGAGTAAGTGAAGTTTCTACAGATCATGGAGCATAAGTAATGGTAAATAATTTAAGAGCAGATTTCTTTCAAAGAAATATTGAGATTAAGTTAAAAATTGTAATTTTTTCAACGCTCTGGCTAAGACAGGATCAGCCAGCAAGCTCGTTGGTCCTGAGCCAGCTTTAGGAGAAAACAAAGACGTGGATTGCAAGACAACACTCTCAGAAATGGAGGAGTACCTCCAGACATCTCCGCCAGGCACGGCAGCTCATTGAAGGGCCCAATGCTAAGGATGGACGTTTCTGCTTATCTCTGGATAGAGCCAACCTAAGGTTGCTGGTGGGACTGTTGTCTGGCCATAACACGTTAAGGCGCCACCTGCACGTGATGGGGGTGGCTGAGGATCCCTTGTGTGAGCGCTGCGTCAAGGAGCTTGGACTCAAGGCGATTCTCAACTTCGCCTAAAGGGCGAGGCTTGTGATCTAAGGAACGTGGAGGTGCATAAGGGCCCGTTTAAGCGGCCTATGCACTGGCTCCTTATGGTGGCCGGAATACCTCTAATTTCATGATTCATTCAATCATGTTTGCTTAAAAAAGGTATTAATTGAAAATCATGCTATGATTCACCCTTTTCAAGATTTTAAACCTTACAATGCACTCAACAAAAAAATCACATCTATAAACTATTTAAATTCAATTATTATTCTTTGATTGAATGGTAAAATACAAACGATAAATTAACTTAAAATTAAGGATAAGGATCAGAAATAAAAGTTATCGATCTTTGCCAGCAAATGTTCGTCATGACCTCAATTTTGCTCAACAAATTTTATAATTCTTTTAATGAAGGATCACCGAATCTTAAAAAATAATTCCTCATTTCGAAATGATGCAGGAGCATTTTGAATTTTTGCCATTAATTCCTCTCTTGTGTTTACTGAATTTTCATAAGCAATTGATTTGATATATCCCTATACGCAAAAATCTAATGGGTTAAAATCTGGACTTCGTGCGGGCCCAGCTCTTCGACTTCCACGTCCTATCCGGTGAAAATTAGCGTCAAGATATTCTCTCACCGGTCTAGCAAAGTGCGCAGGAGCACCATCTTGCATTAAAACCCTACTTCGGCGCAAATTTAATGGTAATTGTTCTAAATAATGAATGAGTTTTGTTTTTAAGAAGTTTAAATATAATTCGCCGTGTAGATTTGAAGGTAACTCGTATGGTCCCAAAAAAATTGTCTATTACACCACACCAAATATTAATATTAAATTCGTGTTGAAAGTGTCTTTCAGTAAAGAGGTTAGGATTTGCAATATCTCATGAAGGCTTGTTTCTAAAATTAAAAATTCCCCTTAGGATAAAAGTCGCTTCATCCGTAAACATAATTTTATTTATAAATAAGGGCGAAATTTAGTCTTGCTGGAAGATCTGCATCCAAAAGTTTTTGTACAGGCGTAAAATGATATGTAACTAATACCAGTTCTTGCTGCCATACGCCTTACACTTATTTCTGGATCTTCACCAACCTGGATTAATACTTCTTGATACACATTATGTCTATTTGGACGTTGGCCTGCATGAACCAGTTTCCCCAAGTCTCTGGTAAACGTTTTTAAAAAGTTTAAAATCTCGCCGCCTGCTATTTGGATACAATTGCGCATAACGTCGACAAGCTCTTAAACAGCTGTAATTTCTTGGGCATATACGCAAACCATATTTCGCATTTCCGAATGAGAAAATAATGCATGTCTAGGCATTTTAAACTGAAATGATAAATACAAAATGAACTCTGGAACAAATACTAGAAGTACACAATAAAAGGTAATAGATTACGGCACTAAACGTGTGAGTTTGAATTTTTATAACCACTCATCAAAGCAACTGACAAGAACGTGAAACGTGATGGTGACAATGACGTTTATAATTCAAAAATATAAAATTTTCTCTTGAGTGCATTGATTATAAAGTATACCTTTTTCAAGCAAACATGATTGCACAATGCATATTTTAAATAAAACATTAAATTATGCCAAGCGTAAAAAGGTTAAGAAGTTTAAAAAATAGAAAATGTTGCTGGTGTTGGTGCCCTCTATAATATAATTTTAAAAAAGGTAAATTTTCAAATTTGTCATATAAATAAACCGTCTTATGCCAAATTTCGTTAAAAACGAAGACTGAATGCTAAATTTATGGACAAAGCTCAAAAAAATTACAATAAGTTTGTCACCCTGCATCTTGATTGCCTTTGACTTTCGAACTAACTTTTTCTCAATGTTTCTTTGAAAGGAATCTGCTATTAAATTATCTACCATTACTTATGGGACACCCTGTATGGATGAAGTCAAGGACATTTTCACTCTCAGTTCTGACATCAATAATCAGGAAAGCAGATATGATTCTGTGATGGTCTGGCGTTAAATGAAACTGCATATGTTTGAATTTATCCTTTTTACTAGCGTTTCTGCTATCACAATGGCCTTTTTCAAAGTACAACTTATAATTGAGAATGTATTTTCAGTAAAAATAAGTAATTCAAACATATTCCGCAGTGGTCGATTCTGGTGTGATAGTGGTGCTTTGCGCTGTCTTGTTTCGATAGACCCTACCTCGTTCGCTTGCCCAGAGATAAGAGACCAAGCCTGCACCATACTGATGAGTATTAAAGAAGCACGAAACATCTGTGCATGACTGGCTGTCTTTTTGGTCAGATGGAAGCATCATGTTTAGTTTTATATATGCATTCATTTAACAGAAGACCTTGTAATCCGATTAGCATAAAAACCACAGGATAAGTTTTAGTAGCTTTATTGGCGAAAATGCAATTAAGTAGAGAAAGATGGTTTATCAACTTTTTTGAATGCCAAGAACACAATCTGTTTATTCATCTTTCGTGTTTGTATCAATAATGCCTGTATCAAAAAACCGTATAATTGAACATGCTTTTCACTTCTGAGTTTGTTTTTACGTGCCAATAGTAGAACGTTCAAAGAACACAATTTTCCTATTATAAATCTTTCTAACTAAATCGTTAACTGTTTGTTGTGATAATTGATATTTTGTGCTACGTGTGATTTCAAACTGATCATAATCTGCAATATTTATTATCCTAAGACTATTTTATGTATCTGTGTTTCTACACATGGTACGGAAACATACTGACACTAAGAAACTTCAATCGTTCGTCATTTGCAGACAGAGATTTATATTTCTAGCTGATAAATTTATGCTCAACAAGTTTATTTTCTAAAAAATGGGTGGTACGCCTAGATTTGCGAATAAAAACTTGCCAAGCGTTTTGTCATCGGATGAAACCTTGTTTATAAGCTTTTATTTA